TATATATATCTTCCTTTCAAAAGGATAACTTTTACTCTTTTGGGAAATTTTCCTGTCTCTGCTGTTTCTCTATCAGCTCAAAATACTCTATGCCAAAGAGGCATAATTTGGTATGGTATATTCTACAACACTTCACTACATTCTAACTCCAGATGGATGAGTGCTGTTTACCCAGTTTCCACAATGCTAAAATGTGAATAGTGGTATTTTTCTGCCTCTTTGATAAGGTTGTACTGGCAGCAAAATGGCACCAAGTGTTAGACTGGACCTTGGTTCAGGAACCTTGGTATTTGAGTTCTGGCTAAGAAAGAATTCAGAGTCAAGACTCAAACTATAAGAGAAAGTTTATTTAGAAAGTCACAGAGGTAGAAGTGAATCATAGAATAAATGGGCTTAGGAAACAAGTTATAGGAGCAAAGGAAGGTCCCTTGGAGCTTCGGAGAAAAGGCAAGGAAATGGCCTTGCAGGGAGGTGGTGGGGAAAGGCCCTGTTGTGCTCCATAGAGAGAACCAAAGAGATTCCTCCATCTTGAGGGTATTTGTCTTGAAGTCTCAGGGGAGGTTTCCAATAGAATATTCATCACCTTTCCTAGTGTCCTTTCAGGGTCATGGTCTCTACTGATTGGTTGTTGCCAGGGCAAGAGGTCAGTATTTAATGCCGTTGGTCCTGAGGCAGCCATAGTTGCTTGTTTGATTTTGCTGCTTTTCCAGGCTTGGAGCTGAAATACAACTGAGGCCTAGATGTATTAGATGCGGGTCAGAATCTCATTGTCCTGGGGACTTAATGCTTAAGAGCTATTCTCTGCCCCCCTCATATGGTTCCCCTCCAACAGAGTCTAACTCTCATGACTAGCAACGTGCCAGGGGAGGAAAGGTCAGGGGAGGGTCCGAACCCTATGTCCAGAGATATGCTAGAGGAGGAAAGGTTACCCTGGAGGAGAGATCCTTGTTTTCCCAGTTTTGTCCGTTGCTAGGCACCTGGGGCTCTCTGCCCTGGTGACCTTCTGTACCTGGCCTGTCGTCCTTGCTCTGCTCATATCTGTCTGACTGCCTACCACTGTTGTTATCAAGAATATGGGACATAGCCCTAACCAGTTTGGCTAAGTGGATAGAGGGTCAGCCTGCGGACTGAAGGGTCCCAGGTTCGATTCCAATCCAGGGCATGTACCTTGGTTGCAGGCACATCCCCAGTAAAGGATGTGCAGGAGGCAGCTGATCGATATTTCTCTCTCATCAATGTTTCTAACTATCTCTCTCCCTCCCTCTCTGTAAAAAATTAATAAAATATATATTTTTTAAAATTATAAAAATATGGGACATACTGGAAGGAAAAATATATCTTAAATAATAAAGTCCTATACAAAAGCAAATTGTTGATGGTATAATTATTTGCAATATTAGATTATAAACTACTTCGGAGTCTGGATTAGGCTTTAATGATCATTGTATCCATCATGATGCTGAGCATAGTACTAACCAGGATTTTGTATTTAGTAGCTGCTCAAAAATAAATAAATAAATAAATTAATTAATTAATTAAATAAATATAAAACTTTCCTTACTGACATAAGGGATGAAAGGAATGGTATCTAGTTCTTTTTCTCCTCCTGTCCCAGGTAGGATGTGGTGACACAGTTGCAATTACAAATGATTTCCATACTGACTCATATTGGTTCTCCCTTTTACTAATACAAAGTAATCACTTTGAGGATAAGTAAAGACTTGCAAATTGGGCTGTTTTCCATTTGTTATTTATAAGATAAAGCATTCCTAGAATTTTTCAAATTGTCTCACTTTGGTTCACAGACAGAATTTCTGAAATCAGTTTTTGTTCTAGGAGAACAGATTTATGAAATTGTATATCACTACATAGACATATTTTAGCTGGTGTAAAATTATGTTATGATAAATGGGAAACATGCACTATTTTGCCTTTTTTTAAAAAATATATATTTTATTGATTTTTTACAGAGAGGAAGGGAGAGAGATAGAGAGTTAGAAACATCGATGAGAGAGGAACATCGATCAGCTGCCTCCTGCACATCTCCTACTGGGGATGTGCCCGTACCCCAGGTACATGCCCTTGACCGGAATCGAACCGGGGACCTTTCAGTCCTCAAGCCGACGCTCTATCCACTGAGCCAAACCGGTTTCGGCTATTTTGCCTTTTTTATCTTTTACTTGTGCTTGGTGTTGTACAGATGTTGAGCCTTCTGAAATATATAGTTTTGTACTTTGCATTGCAAATAGAGTACAAGTAAGTGACCTTTGCAAAGTGTTTCTGTGTAAAAAGTCTCTGGCGTGGGTCGATTTTATTTAGGGAAGAGAGACTAGAGAACAAGTATCTAACTTTCATTCTGTGCTAAGAAATGAAGAGTATTGTCTTATTTCTGCAACTCTTAAATATGTTGTTTAACACTTTCTTAAAAATAAAAATAGAAATACATGGTGATATTCTCAGAGGGGAAACCAGAATATGTATATAGCAGTACCTATAACTCTTTGTTGATAACAATTTTTTTAAAAAAAATAGAATAAGTCAGAAATGTGTTCTTTCAGGTCCATTGGACTTGAGGGTTAAAAGATCTAATGTCACTTAGCACAGATGAGGTTATTGAGTTGCCAATGTGAATGCTAATACTTAAGTAGCAAAAGAAAGAACATGGGTAGGGGTCATCTCACTTTTTAAATCATGTTGTGTTCCCTAAGTGTCAGCTGCAAAGTAATATACCAGAAATGGTCTGATTTCCCCATTGACTTCCATTGTACAACTAGAGCTCTGTTCCCATGGAAAATAAATTTGGCCCCAGGTTATAATAAAACACACTGAAAATTTCAGAAAATCGTATAAAATCAAGTATTTCAAGACACAATTATCAGTATCTGATAACATAATACAGATACAAAATATTAATATACTGTGGTGGATCTTAAAATCACATGCCCCCAAACTGTGCTGTTCTTCTTTTACAATGCTAAGTCTGTTCCCTTTCTATTTAGAAACATCTTACTTCTGTTTCACTATTGATTTTTAATAAATTTAACTGGAATTTTAGAAGGTGGACTTGGTTTCCTATATTCTTCAGGGCTAGCGTGCTCACCTTTCTCTGAAGCATTCTTATCAGTTAACATTCAAAGGAGCCCTAACAGGTTTGGCTCAGTGGATAGAGCATAGGCCTGTGGACTGAAGGGTCCCAGGTTGGATTCCAGCCAAGGGCACATGCCTGGGTTGTGGGCTCATATATATATAAAACATTTAAAGGAAATGCTCCAACATGTTCACAGTATTTGCTTCTGTTTGTTGAAAATTTGCTTACTTATTTATTTAAGCTTTTATATTTCTAAGTCTTCTAAAGAGAGAGTTTTCTATAAATATACCTACTATAATCAGGAAAATAGTATTATACTTTATTTTTATAAGTATAAATTTAGGTATAATGAGATACCTTTAGTTGGACACCTTTAAATATATGGTTCATTTAATGCTTTGATACTGGTGATTGTTATTACCTTTTGATAACATTTGTAAAACAATGATGTAATTAATTTCTGAATAAGTAGCGTTTGTGGAGTGTACTGCTGAGAGTGTAATCCTGGACTGGCAGCCTCAGCGTCACCTGGGAACTTGTTAGAGATTATAATGCTCAGGCCCCTGGGCTCAGGCTCAGCAAACAGCAATCTGGCTTTTAATATGCCCTTGGAGTGGTTAAGGTTATAGAACTACAGCAGAATCTCTCTCACTGTCTCTCCCTTGCTCCCTCTCCCTTCTGCTCCTCATGAGGGACACACACACACACACACACACACACACACACACACACACATACACGGTTACATATAACATAATCTTATATAGAATTTGCTATCTATATGGAAAATGTGCATTAAGAATGGTGAATCTATCCTTTCTAAGTTTTTTGTTGTTGCTTATTTCTACTGTATGCTGTTCATAAAAAATATGACGTAGTTTGTGGATATGTATTTTGATTTAGCAAACATGTTCAGCACGGTTATACATTAAATATAATTTATAGTTTCAAAACTCATTAACCAATATAATGACAACAGCAACTGCTTATGGCCTGAATTGGATCTGCCCAGAAATCATATGCTGAAGCCCTAACCCCCAGAACCTCAGAATGTGACTGTTTGGAGATAAGGCCTTTAAAGAGGAGATTTTGTTCGAATGACGTTCTAAGGGGGTTCCCTAGTCCCCTGTGACTGCTGTCCTCATAAGAAGAGGAGATTAGGACACAGACAGCACAGAAGGACCACTGTGTGAGGACACAGCAAGAAGATCACCATCTACAACAAGCCAAGAAGTGAGGCCACAGAAAAAAATCAAACTTGCCAACACCTTGATATTGGACTTCCAGCCTCCAGAGATGTGAGAAAACAGATTTCTGTAGTTTACGCTACCCAGACTGTGGCATTTTATCATGGCAACCCTAGCAAACTAATACATAAGTATTTATAGAAATGATGGTATAATTCAATCTTAACACCTAATGATTGCCTTTGAGGTACTATTGGATCATATTCCTTAACAGAAACCTACAGCTTTACAAAGATTGCCAGAGAGCAGTATGACAAACTGTCCACTATGCACAGCAACATGGTCAAGCTCTATGAGAATCTTGGAGACTACTTTATTTTTGACTCTAAGACAGTGAGCATAGAAGAGTTTTTTGGTGATCTCAACAACTTCCGAACTTTGTTTCTGGTGAGTAATACATCTTGAAGCATTGCAAGGCCTGATGCTTTTGTTTTTAAATAATTTCTTCTGTTGGCATTTCATATAACTATTGACCATATTGATTTCATGTTATAGCCCTTTAGCAGAAATTGACAGATATTTTATACCTGTGGCATAGATGTAAATTGTTGGCTGGCTTAATGTATAATGGAGAACTGCATGAATTATCTTAAACTTTAGGTATACATGGGAATTTTTCTCCTGAAATTTTATCTTATATAATAAAAGGATAATATGCAAATTGACCAAATGGTGGAACGACCAGTTGCTATGACACACACTGACCAGCAGGGGGCAGACCTCAACAGAGGAGCTGCCCCTGGTGGTCAGTGAGCTCCAATAGGGGGAGTGCTGCTCAGCCAGAAGCCAGGAGAGTGCAGCAGCGGTGGCAGGAGCCTCTCCCACTTCCAAGGCATCGCTAAGGAGCAGCAAACTGAGCGGTAAGGAGCAGCGATCCGGTGGGCAGTGAGGAGTGAGGGCTCCCAGACTGCTAGAGGGATGTCCAACTGCCGGCTTGAGTGGGCCTAAGCTGACAGGCAGACATCCCCAGAGGGGTCCCGGACTACAAGAGGGCACAGGCTGGGCTGAGGGACGCCCCCCACCCCCCAAGTGCACAAATTTTCATGCACCGGGCCTCTAGTAGAAAATAAATGAATAGGTACGGAAATGACCCTGATTTTCATACGGCATAATATTATCATTTGATCTAGCTTAAAACTCATATCTAAAATAATCTTTCAGTTAATATATTAAAATGATGTAATTGATGAACAAGTTTCTTTTATAGCCTAGATGAGAGACTGATTCCAAATTGGACTGTGTAAATGACCTTGAATGCCTAAAGTTTCTTCCATAATATGGGCTCTTGTTTCAAACTATAATTCTTGGGGTAACAGTAAATATTAGCATTAATTGAAGGGGAGGCAATCAGAGTGCAGTTACAATGTTAAAGGAAAACAAAAGCTTTGCTGTATAAATGCTGTGGAACTACTTCTCTGCATCCAGCCAAGGAGTAGAAGAATACAGACTGTGATTATGATAAAAAAGAAAGTTATGCATAATAGTTGATATCAAACAGGCAAAGGTCCATCTATTTTAAAGAAGGAATTCTAGCAATTATCTCAGCATTAAGACCAATTAGCAAACTAATTATTGCAGTTCAAGATATGTTTCTATCTCCAAAGCAGTTATTTGCTAAATAAGGCTACCTCTCTTAATTGATGGTGAAATCGTTTGATTTGAGTGTATCTTGTACAATCGGTGAGATATATGTTTGTGGAAAGCATTTGCTTGCATCTACTGACTTAAGGCATATGACCCAGAGCACACCCCACCTTTGGTAATGGAAACTAAACCAAAAACTTTTTTGTAAATCCTTACCCCTGGGACATTTTTTCCATTGATTTCTGGAAAGAGTACAAGGGAGGGAGGATGGGAAGAGAGCGAAACATTGATGGGAAAGAGACACATCTATTGGTTGCCTCCCACATGCGCCCTCACCCAAACAATTTTTATAGATATGATAATTTGTCTTCTTTTTTGCTAAGAATATTAGCTTATTTTGACGTTTGGTCTTTGCCCCTTAATAGACACACATTTTTTTTTATTTTTTTATTTTTTTACTTTTTAGCTGGCCAATAAGTAGTAAAATGTGTTCTAATGGTAATGAGTAATTAAACTATTCTCAAAACTTAAAAGTCATAAATTTGACATGGACATATACACACTGAGGTTATATCTACCTAGATTATTTTCAAAAAGAAAAACAAAGCATGTTGAAAGGAATGGGGACTAGAAAAGCTGACACATTGAAAAGTCCAATGGATTGTTTTTATAGCATCAATGTCATGTGCCTTGTTTTAACATGGATCTTAAAACAATGTCTGTGTGCCCCCTCCCTCCACACCTCTCCAATATACAGACACAGAGTAGAATTTGGGGTACTTCTCCCAGGTTGCAGCATTTGATGAAGGACAATTTCTGTGTGATAGCCTGTTTAGTCATATTAGAAAGATGCTTAGAAGACTTGCTAAGAATTATAGTTGTAGTATTTCTCAATCATAACTTATTTTAAAAATGTAAGGATATCTGTGTCCTTATGCTGTAAGTAACAAGCTATGTGACTGTAGATTAGTCGTTTATCTTATCTAGCTATTTGTTTATTTGTTTATTCATTTAGTATAAGAAGGGATTATACTACTGACCTCTAAGAACTTTATCTTCTTTATTAGTCTATGAGCCATGGTTGGAATTTCAGCGAGAGAGTCAAGTATGTATATGTACTGGCTTCACTTTGCATGCAGCTTGAGTACAAGGAAATAATTTGTCATAGATCATTCCCATTGTGAATAAGTTGACATTCTGAAGCCTGGTTTTGTGTGCATTTAACTTCTTAAGAACCTGCAAAGATTGAGATTGAAGCTTTCAAATCAGGTAACCAACTGCTACCCTGTGTCCCGGCCGGCCATTGCCATCTCTCTGACAGAATACTACTGCTATCACTTCTGTCTACAAATATTTATCGACTGGCTCACATAAGAACTAGGCGTGCAGTTAATCAGCTGTTTTGAACTTGGGTTGGTCATATAACCTCTCTGGGTATTGGTTTCCTCATCTGCAAAATAGGGATGATAATTCCTGCCATGCCTTCCTCACCACTGTGTGAAAACACCATGCAACCCATGCTATCCAGATGAAGAATATTATTGGCCATTCTTTATCCATTCATTCGGTTATTATATATTGAGGACCAACTTGATTTTGGTAGTCCTTTAGAGATAAAAAGAAGAGAATAGTCTCTCTACATAGAGGGAGATGGACAAGTAAATGCAATATAATTTGATAGGTGCTGCCATAGGAATATGTCAGGGCACTATAATAATACTAAGGAGGAACTGCCTAACCTTGCCTGAGTTGGCCAAGGAAGCCTTCACAGAGAAAGTGACATTTGGGCAGAGTCTGGAAAAATCCATAGCAGTTTGACAAGCAGACTTTGACAAGCAGATTTAAGGGTTTTACACCTGACCTATAAGCCGAACACTCCTAAATCAACATCACCAACTTCAGTCAATCATTTGTGCTCACCATGTTCCTGTTTCGTAGTGAGCTTAAAGTGATTTCACTCTCCCAGTGGAGGGAAAACCCCTGAAAGAGAGACAAAAATTGTAATCGCCAGAAGTTCCCATTTTCTTAGTGCTTTGTGTGTTTGGCCTCAGGGGTCTTAGCGCTAAAAGCATATTGGACTATAGATGGAAGCAATAAAATACCGGTAGTGCTGAGAAGAAAATAATAAGCGTTCTGATACATGTGCTACCAAAAATTACTTCCAAATGAGCTCAGAGTTTCATTTTAGAAGATCTATTTGGCATGTGTAGCATAAACAAAATGCACATACAAAAACATCTTCCTCAAAGAGATATCCTTGAAAGGATGGGGGAAATGAAATTAAATAGTGGATTGACATTACAGATTAAGACCTTTTTCAAAATAATCACATTAAAATTAATGAAAGCAAGATTGGGTAATCTCCATGAGCTGCTGCTCTATTCTTTATTCACATGATTAATATTATTCAACTAATGAGGATATGAAAGATATTCAAGATGAATGTCCTATATATTGGCATGAAGATATATGTAATTGGAAATATTTCTCAATTCAGAGTTAAGTCTGTCTTTCCAGTTAGCTTCTCTGAGATCATCAGAGTTGAAAACACTACTTATAATATAAGCAAGATTAATTAAGAATCCCTAAATTTAGATTGAATATTTTGTGGAAGGAAATAAAATTCCATATTTATGTAATGTCTAGACATCTTTTTTTCCTATTCTTCTTTATGCTTTAGTCATTCTACTAGTTCAAATAGTTGACTGCACAATCTTTCTTCTTTTGAGATATTTTGAATAGAATATTCAAATCAGTGAACCTTCTGTGTTTTGCCACCGTGCAGTCTCTTTCTTAGGCATAAAAATTAATTTCAGCTGTTGAGATAGTGTTTAAGGCAAGTATTGTGTTTTAATAACTTTCATACCT